GAAAGAATGAAAGCGTACAAGGAACTGGTCGAGGAACAAATCAGAGAATTTGAACAAGTGGTCCTCGATCAGGTTTCCCGAATGCAAAATGCTGAGGCAGATGTTCTATCAAAGCTCGAGAATGCCGCATTGGACGATCGGGTTCAGCTCATCCCTGCACACATCAAGTGGTTTGCCCACCAGGAGACATTGGCTACACCAGCTACCATGGTCCTTCGGGTGGAGGCTATATCATATGTCGTTCCTAGTTGGGTCGTAGACATGACCAACTACCTGAAGGACGGATCCCTCCCAACAGACAAGAACTCGGCATACAATGCCACGTGCGTTCAGAGGAGGGCTGCGATGTTCGAGCTTGTGGATGGGCAGCTATACAAGAAGACGTTCGGAGGGCCATATTTAAAATGCCTCCCGCCCAATCTTGCAGCCGCCTTGATGTAAGAGATACATGAAGGAATCTGTTCGAGCCATCAAGGGCCAAAGACCCTTGCAAGAAAGATCATCTTGCAAGGATACTACTGGCCGACCATCCAACAGGACTGCTTTGAGCATACAAGGAAGTGCACAACCTGCCAGCAATACGCCACAGTGCCTGGACGGCCAGCAAGCTTTTATACACCAATGACTACAACATTGTGGGGAAGAAATACATCATTGTGGGGATTGACTACTTCACCAAATGGGTGGAGGCTGAACCTCTGGCCAACATCACAGACTTTCAGTGCCAGAAGTTTGTATGGCAAAACATCATTTGCTGATTCGGCCTCCCGGAGCAAATCATCACCGACAACAGCAGGCAGTTCGTCAGCAAGAGCTTTGAGCAATACTTGACCAAATGGGGCATCAAGCATTCTACGGCATCTGTGGCCTACCTGAGGCGAACGGCCAGGTGGAGAATATGAATAGAACAATCATGCACATGATGAAAACGAAACTCGAAGAATGCTCCTCTTCATGGCCTGATCAGCTAAAATACATATTATGGACATACCGAACGACCCCCAAGACAGCAACTGGGGAAACACCATTCGCTCTATCATACGGGTTCCAGGGCAAAGTCCTAACGGAAGTTCTGGTGCCCACGTACCGAACGATCCATTTTGATCCCGAACATAACGAAGATACCTTACGGGCAGAACTGCACTTCATTGAAGAAAGAAGGGACTTGGCCACAAGAAGGGTGGAGGAGTATCAACAAGCAACTCAGAGGTATTTTGACAAGCAAGTCAAGATCCGATCGGTAGAAGTGGGAGATCTTGTTCTCAGGAAAAAGGAGAAAAGCAAGCCGCTCGAGAGCGGGAAACTAGCGAAGAATTGGGAAGGCCCTTACTAAGTTTGGAAGAAATACGCTACATGGACGTCCGGTCTTAGAACAACAGAAGGTCGTTCGGTAGGCACCTGGAACGTTGAGCATTTAAGAAAGTTATATCAATGAAAATGGCTGTTGCCACCTCTGGAAAAAAAGTAAGTGGGAGACATAACTTCCAGAAACCAGGAGCATGGACGAACCGAGCGGACGTCGGGTCAAACCCAGGCGGATCGAACGAGGGATCGAATGTAATACCCGAGATTAATTTAAGAGGATTAATAGTACTACTCATACCAACAGAGGTGCATCTCCTTTTAAGGGAGCTCATCACCCAAGAACTCCAAAGTTAAGCGTGCTTGCACGGGAGTAGTCTTGGGATGGGTGACCCCCTGGGAAGTTTCTCAGGGCGCGCATGAGTGAGGACAAAGTGCGCGGTAAAGGCTCGTGGTGGTTTGTGAGGACAGTACCATTGGTCTAGAGTAGCTACCTCGGGTCCGTGTGGGGCCCCGGGGTGTTACATCGAAGCTATGGTTAAAAGCCTCAACTCAACCGCAAGTGTAAGTGAATCGTTCTGGATGACCAAACGAGGATCCTCATTTTGGTCTGGAGGAACGCCATCATCTTAGCTAGGTTTTGCCTTGTGTTCCGGATAATTGAACGAGGGTTTTCAAACCTAGTTTGGAGATAATGTTAAACTAGGAGCATGGACGAGCCGAGCGGACGTCGCTTCAAACCCATACGCTGCCGAACGGGGGATCGAAGCTATGGTTTCAAATCTTGCCTTAGTAATTTGCTTTGACGAACCACGACAACTAGTTTGAGAGGCCTCAACTGGCCATGAAGACTAGATCGAAGGGTGGAATCCTAGCTCTGATTTGGAGACAAGTCGCCATTTCAGCTCCACACATGGACGATCCGTACCGGACGGCCGGACGGGAAAGCCTGTGTGATAGTTTGGAAATGAGGACATCTCAACCAATAGTATGGACGATCCGTATCGGGAAAAATCAAACGGTGGCATCAAAACTATGGTTTGGAAGGTGACAGGTATGAACCGATCAATGTTAAGTTGTACAAACAAATGAAAAGGATTGGGAAAGCACAAACAGAAGAATGAAATCATTCTATTCATCGGATCTGCCGTCCAGGAAGATACAAGGAAGAAAAATATGAAAAACACAAACAAAGATTATGCTGGAGCTGGTTCAGAGTCCGGCTGATTGGAGCTAGGCTCACCACCATCCTCCGCTTTCTTCGCCCGTTTGGCACGACTATCCATGACTCGATCGAAGGCATTTATGAAGCATGGCCCAAAACCTTGCTCCTCTGGATCAAATGGCTGAGGGAAATGCTTCGCAATCACATCAATGTTTTGATCAACAATGATATCCATGCTCTTCAGCAAGGTATCACGAGCAAGGCCGTTCACGAAGTCCTTCCCCTCCGGAGTCTCATCAAGGAGGGCGATCCCTGCCTTGATGGGGTCCGCACTAGCACGAAGATGCTGGCCAAGATGCTGGCCGAGAAATTGACGGGCGGTAATTTCAAGAGAAATATTCAACCCCTTGCCTCTCTGATAGTCTATCACCGCTTGTTGCATGATTTTGGAAGTATCAACAACAATGGCAACAGGGACTTTCTTTTCCTTGTACGTTCGAACCTTAACGCCGGCTTCATCCACAGGCTTGAGTTTGGCCTTGAGAAAAGAGATTTCCTGATCACGATGTTGAACCCTTTGTTCGCTCTCAGCCAGCTCCGCGGCGGCCTTATTCCCTTTTGTGGCCTGGTCTTGTAGATCAGCGGCCATCTTACGTGCAGCATCAAGAAGGTTCTGGGCCTCCTCTCGGTCCCGTGCCATTCGAGCCATATCCCGATCGACAGCAAGGAAGACCTTGATATAGTACACCCCGACCTAAAAGAAAACTACAATAAGATCTCGGAACAGAATAATGAAAGGAAGGCAATGGAAATGAATAAGGGGAAGTACCTTGATATTCTCCAAATGACTCGCTTCGATCAGGTCATGCCAGTGGGTCAAATGGGTGAAGCTGGGCAAGGCCTTCAGGGCCATCGAGCACCACAGTGAGGTGGATGTCTGCCCAAAGAGGGTTTTACTTTCTAATAATTGAGGGCCCATACCAGAGAATTCAAACCGATCGGAAGTCTCGACATTTGTGGTAGCAGGGACGATCTTGCTAGAAGAGGAAGGGGGAGCACATCATCCGAACGGGGTCTCTTCCGGGTTGTTTCCATGGTGCATCTTGACTGAGATTGCTTGACAGGCTTACAAGTGTTCATGGCAAGCTGGCCCTTTCCATTCCCGACTGGGGGAGGCAGACTAGATGAAGGACCCAGACGTTTCATATCGGACGGGATCACACCTGCAAGAGAAAGATAGTCCGAAGGCCATCACAACACAAAGCAACGCACCGAACGGCGGAAACTAAATAGGGAAGTACCAATGCCGGTAGCTAGCATATTGGAAGACGTAATAGAAGCCCGTATATTTCGGGAGCCCGCCAGACGCAACAACTCAGCCTGGTTTTGTAGAACGACATCCCGAACCGGCTCTTTGTCCCGAACGGGGTATGAGTTCCACAGGTCAGGAAATGGAAGCGGTTCACCCACGTGAACAAGCAGAAAATGCTACTGCCAATTTTCAGGAGGTGTGGGGTTCTCTGTGAAAAGCTGACGAAAGGGCCGAGCGGTCAGTCGCAGGTATCCAGTGGTCCAGTACGGCTCATGTCTATAATGATATAGAAATAAATCGACGCTCGGAGGAATCCCCAAATTGTGACACCGGATGACGAATCCTGTGAGGAGACGGTAGGTGCTGGGCACGAACTGAGCTGGAAGCACCGAGAGCCGACGTAGAAAGTCTATAAAAAATAGGTGCAGAGGAAAACGGAGACCGGCCACCAGGGCATCCATATGCACCAGCACATACCCCGGTCGGTGCCTCATCGGATGTTGAATGAAGCCGCTGTAAAATTGCCTAGGTGGCGGTAAAAGTAGGGCCAATTGTCGGCCGACATCTGATGGAAGACGCTGACGTTGCTTCCGAATGCAATAAAAGTTAAGAGGAATATGTGGTGGCCGCTCGGGCATTCCACGTTTGTATTTTTGGAGGTCCTCCCCATATAAATATCCATCGTCAGGAAGGGACTGCTCGACCTCCGGGGGAATGGGAGAATCAGTAGGAGAGTCTGAAGATTGGGTGGAAGGGATAGTGGCCTGGCCGCTCGGGCCGGCCTTTTCTTCTTGTGGATCGACGAATCAAAACCATATCTTCCTCATCTGAAGAAAGATAGCTAGACATAAAAGAGAAGGCCAGGTAAATACCTCGACAGGGAGAGAGCCTAAAGGATTTATAGAGAGAAAGTTAGCGGCAAGATAAAAGGCCAAGAAGCAGTAGAAAATGAGGAAGCACCAGCTTCCCCATATTTATACTAAAACCCACCGACCATGGACCAAATCAACGAGGGACACGTCGCGGAATTGGGTGGCAGGATGTCCACAGGATGTCCACGATATTTATACTGCATTGTACGCTCTGAACGGCTAAGCCCGGATACAACGAGGGCAGACTTTTCTGGGTCTGAATGGGCCCTGATTAATATCGGAGATGAGTTTCCCCTATACGGATTGTCTTAAATATTTCCCCGAACGGTCGGAAAGTCGTGATGGGCATGAAACATAGATCGGAAGACAAAACCAGAAATGAGAAATAAAAAAAAAGGTATTTTACTTTTCGGCTCTACCGGCCGGAATATACAAAAAAGATAGAGATAAAAAACACATGGATGCATTGCAAAAGGGGGAGCCTATGTAGGAAGGGGGTGATAACCGATATTTCATTCGGAATCCTCATCCTCGGCATCTTCATTCTCAACATCATCAGAAGGTTCAGGAACCCTGTCGGCTGCTTGGTTGGCTTCCTTTTGAAGGGCCCGACGGTACTTGCCATATTGGTACAGGAGTACCTTATCCTCAGAAAGCTCGTTCAGATCAACCTGCTGACCGGCCAGACGCTCCATAATTGGCACGACGCCCCCCAGCACCACTTGGCACCCCATGTTGAAGGTCTCCCTGGCCAAGACGGTGGCCCATTTTTTGTCGATCGGGGTCTCATCGGCCAGCTTCACCCCTTGCTTCTGACGGTCGAGGCCCTGGGGGAACTGCTTTAGGTTCTTCCCGAACAAGGTGCCGACATAGGCCACCCCATTGTCTTCAACGGCATTGTTAAAATCCTAAGAGGATCTAAATTCGGACTGACCAGTAGCACGGACAGTGGACAGATCCGCAGTTATTTCCCGAGGACCGTCCGAGATTTGGGGGTCTCTATCTTTGAAGACAATTTGGGCAGCCTCGGCGGCCGCCACCTTGGCCTGAGCAGTGGCTAGGCTCACTCGAAGTTGGGCAATTTCTTCTTCAAGCTTTTTCCTCTCCTGGTCGACCGAGCAAATAGCATCTGCAGCCACCTGTTCGGCCTCAGAACGGGCCTTGACCAACTCCGTCTCCCTGGCCGACCGAGCATGATGGAGTTTTAGGTTGTACAAGCCAGCCTGAGCCAAATACTCAATCGGAATAAACAGCCAAGCTGAGGTATAAGGGAAAGAGAGAACGACATGAATAGTTACCTTCATGGTGGCCAGAGCAGCCCCTGTTTTGGCTTGCTCCATCGATAACGGCGGGAGGCGGAAGTCGTTCATATCAGCAGTGGTGTTCCAGATCTGGAGGAGTGAGCATCCGGCTTGCTCCATAACCTCTTGAATGGGATCCTCGAGGGAAATCGGCTTCACGAGCTTGCCCAACTCCGCCTGCATGGCGTCCAGTTTGGCAGCCCCGTCGGAGCCGGGGAGGTCAGTAAAGAGGGGTTCGGTTTGGGCAGCCTCAAACTGCGACTCAACCTCCATGTGCTCCAAGTTCACATGATCAACAGGCACCTGCTGAAAGGGCTGTGCCTCCTGGGCCACCGGTTGGGAAGGCCTAGCGTCCCCTGTTCGGGGCGCCTTCTTTGCTGGCTTCTTCCTCTTGCCAGCGCCCATACGTGCAAGACGACCGAGATCCATTGAAGCTTCGGTGTTGGGAACTGAAAAGGAAGAAAAGAAAATGTTAGTACCGAGCGGTCTTAGCGTGTGTGAAACAAGCATATAGTGAGTTTCTCGCATGAGGACCGTCTGGGCCATGGCACTTGGTTTTTAGTCAAGAGTCCTAGGAATTCGGACGGTACCTATTGCGGCTTCCACAAGCCGGTCGGGAGTCAAGTAGGCCATAATATCGAGCAGCTCGGGTCTCTCTACTGCAACAATTTTCTGTTCCAGCTCATTAGTGACAAGGGGCTCGGTGGATTTAGGTGGATAGGCATTCCACCTCTTGGGGATGAGGCCATCCGGGACAGAGACAAAGAAAAAACGAACTTTCTATCCCTTAATAGAGGTAAGATTGCCCTTGAAGAGAATCCTTTTCGTTCGGGCACTCACGGCCAGGAATCCGTCGATCTGCTAGGGGGCAATGAAAAACATATAACTTCCATGTTTATGTTTATGTTTTTAATTGGTTTTTTATTGATTATTACTTTAGAATTTATACACTTTTCGTGTAATAGTTTAGTTTGTTAAAATACTTGTAAATTGTTTATATTAGGTTTATTCTGAGCTCAAACATGTCTATGATCACTAAAAGGACAGTTGGTGAACCCCAAAAGTGGAAGGAAGGTGCAAAATCACAAGACAAAATGGAGATCCTTATTTTTGGTCTATACCCGGTCGGGTATGACCTATACTCGATCGGGTATCTTGTTGAAATCTCAAATCAAATCGGATCCGAAGACAATGGAATATGCAGGGAAGATTTGAACCACGATCGAGTGTCTATACCCGATTGGGTACACCGACACACCCGATCGGGTATGCCTTCGATTTTAAACATGAGATCGGTCGAGTATACCTCGAATATGGCTTTGTACACATACCGGGTCGGGTACCTTGTATATACCCGATCAGGTATACCTTCAACTTTATCTCTGAATTCTGTCGAGTATACCTCGAATATGGTATTCTACACATACCCGGTCAGGTACCGTGTATATATCCGATCGGGTACCCGGACTGCATGCCCAAAATCTTATAAATACACCCCCTTCCCTTCACAATAAAAATACCAATTCACATATACTTCTTAGTTCGGTTTAGAAGAGTTCTTTCTTTATATTTTCTTCATGTTTAGTCTCCAAATGAGGAGCTAAACTCTTCCATCTTGGTTTTGCTACTTTGAAGCTTAATAAATTTGTAAGTTGTGAGTTATTTTCTTTAATCTTCTTCCTTGAATATTAATGATTTCCTATTCATATCTCATACTAATATTTTGAGCATTACTTAAACGATCAATTAGTTTTGTTTCATATATTAATTATTACTAAAGTCTATTGATTAATACGCTTGTTATTAATTCGGTTCGTTCAACGGTAGTAAACTTGGATTATTAATGCATGCGTCTCATGGTTAATAATCTAAGGGGAATTAATTATATTGATTAAACCAATAAACTGTTTGTGTTGAGGTTATCAATCTCAATCGTTTTCATCTTAAGTTTATTGCTACTATCGGATTAATATACGGCGCGTGTTCTATATTGACTCAGTAGTAAATTTTATTAATGAACGCGTCTCGTTATTAATAACTACCCTCGATGAACTGCATATAATCTTCGATTGAGTATTCGAGAGGAAGATAGTTAAAGATATAACATAGATCGACGAACATTTCATTAAGTGGATAAAAGCAAAACCAAGTCTTCATCTCTATTAAAGTAAACCACATAAGTCGTTCATCTTAGTGTTTAAATACATTTAAATTTATCAAACAAATCTAAACCCCCCTTGTTACTACTTATATAAAAGAAAAGTATTTCTTTCCCTGTGGATATGAACCTTACTTCAATATACTACATATATTTGTTGTATTGTATCTAATTTGGGTGCACTTCGCGACAAAGTGCACGCCAAATTTGGCGCCGTTGACGGGGAAATGTAATTATTTTTTATTTTATTTTATTACAAAAAATCAAAAAATCAAAAAATATAAATAAACAAAATATAAAGAGTTCGTATTCTTCTATTTTTGAGCTTGGTGAAGTATATGGTTAAACACCGTTCTATAAACGAGATCACCTATCAAACAAACCCGGAAATAGAACAAACTTTCGAGCGGTTGAAGAGTAAATTTTCAAATACCGACTCGGAGGAATCGTCTACCGGAGATTCATCCAACGCTAGCTCTAGTTATAGTGAGTCCGAAGAGTCCTTTCACATGGATCTTCAATTGAGAACACTAAGGGAGCTCACGGCTCCTAATCTGAACCAACAACCATTGTGTATTACCTTCCCTACACTCGATGAGGGTAATACATTTGAGCTAAAATCTGGGCTCATTCATCTATTGCTATGTGCTAGCTTCCCCTATCACGGTTACACCGAACAAGACCTCATCTTATACTTTTATGATGGTCTTGTTAATGATGATAGAAGAATGGTGAACGCTGCTTGTGGAGGTGGCATTGTTAACAAAAACCCCTCACAAGCAACAAGCTTGATCTCAGAGTTGGCCAAGAACTCACGACAATTTGGCCGCAAATCCTCAACTCGAAGAGTTCTTTCTGCAGAAACAAGAACAAACGCTCTAGAAAGTCAAGTTGCCGACTTGACTTCTTTAGTAAAAGAGCTCCTTCTAAAGCCAAACATTCAGGAGGTCAAAGCTTGTGGCGTTTTCACATCAACCGGACACCCCACTAATTCGTGTCCATCACTCCAAGAAGAGCAAGTTAATGCTCTGGGTTTCCAAGGACATCAACAAAGGAGGTATGATGCATTCTCAAAATCTTACAACCCTGGATTGGGGGATCATCCAAACTTGAGGTATGGAAACCCCCAGCAGTCCAATCCATCTCCTCAACCATCTTTCAATGCCTTAGGCTCAACTTCTCAATCTAATATGTCAACTGATGACATGATCAGAACCTTGACCTCAAACATGGTTACCATGCAACAAAACATGGGACAATTTCAACAAACCATGATACAACTTCAACGTGAGACAAAGTCGAGCATAAAAAATTTGGAAACTCAAGTTAGCCAAATTTCAAATGTCGTGAGCCGACTTGAAGCAAAGGACTCGGGTAAACTCCCATCTCAAACGGAGCAAAACCCGAGACAACATGTGAATGCCATCATGTTGAGAAGTGGGGCGACACTGAAGGAGGTAGAGAAAGGAAATCAAGAGATTAAGGAGGTTGACCCTGAAGAAAAAGGTCATTTTAAGGAGGGAATCGCAAAGGAAAAATTTCATCCACTTTCATCATATGAACCAGTAGCCCCGTTCCCTGAGGCGCTGAGAGAGACAAGGAAGCCGAAGAAAGATGGTGACATCTATGAGACTTTCGCCAAGTGTGAGGTAAACATTTTTTTTTACCCCGGAAGGTCAACCACCAAAATCAGTGGGGTAAATGCCGGGGGGGGCATTTACCGGTGTTTTATTAAAAAGCCGTGACGTTACAGAAGAAGTGGGGGACTAGACCAAAACCACTTCAAAGAGGCATTCCTCTTAAAACAGAACCATATAAAATACGGTAGGTTAGAAAAACCCCAAACAAATTAAAAAATATATGGCATACCCATAGCATCAAGAGCAATAGCACCTTTAAGACTTTGTGGAAAACTTCTCCCATTTGGCCAAGAAAAGGCCCCCTCTAGGCCCAAACGGGCCACTAAGTTTGCTGAGTGATTTACCTGGGCCGGCACAACCTAAAAGATAGGCCTACTAGACTTACTTCAGTTCCCTTCTCCCGAGCTTCTAGAATAAGGCGACTCTGCTTCCACATTAGGAAAGCCAAGAGACGCCGCCCACCTGAGAGCTTGAGCTAATGCTTCATCTTCAAAGTCGCTCGATCCACTCAGCGGATAACCCATCGCCGCAACCACCTCACCTGCATGGTCTCTAAGAAGGAAACCAGCCGATGTCTTCCCATTACCTCTAGCAATCGCCCAGTTCAATTTGACTTCTCCCACCCTCGGTTTCCTCCATCGCTCTATACTCGGCCTTCTCCTCCCAAACGAAGCAGGTAAGAGCCCTAATTGCTTTAATCTATCAGATCCTTTGAGATTAATATTCGTATAACTCCAATCTAACATATATTTACTAATTCTTTGGATCAATCTATCTCGCGTCTGCACTGAGCCGCATTTTGTGGAGTCCCAATATTCTTTCCAAAGGTGCCAAGCTATTACTCCTGGTAAGATCCTTGCATAAACCGCATCCATAATTTTTCCAGACCAGCTTATCCACCACTTTAACATCTGCTTCTTGACACAATTGATCTGGTGACTTGTATTCAGGAGAATATTGGAGAAGAAATCCCAAACCGATCGAGCTAGCTGACATGTTAACAAAATATGATACTGGCTGATGCTATGTTTTCCACAAAACGGACAAATTGTTGGGTGACTTACATAGAAGAGTTCCAACTTCTCAGGGAAAGGCAGGCAACCCTTCCACAGCTTCCAGAGGAACACCCGGATCTTAGGTACCTGCTTAGGGTGCCAGATCTGGGTTATTGAAAGGCTTCTGTCCACTTGAGGCCACAATGCTTCATATGCAGATTTAGATGTATAATTTCCTTCCTTTGTATGCTTCCAAGTTATAGAACTAGGCCCCCTGGTAACCATTTGCTCAGCCTCATCATTTATGAGGCAGATTTTTCTCCAAGTTGGAGAATCCATAGGTTTAATAATCCCCAACTCCCTCTTCTCGTACCTGCTTTTCATCAAGGCAGTCCAGATGGATTCCCCTTGTTGATATTCCCACCAAAGTTTAATTGAGGCCACCTTTTGGATATCCTTCAGTGACCTAAAACCAAGACCCCCATGCTGAATAGGCCTGCTAAGTTTTTTAAAACTGACCCAATGATGTTTAGGTTTAGCAGCATTATATCCCCAGAAAAAGTTGGTTACTTTTCGGTTTATGATTTTAATTACTGAAGCAGGGATAGAGGTTGTTGCTAGAACATGAATAGGAATAGAGTTAAGCACATGCTTAATAAGCACTAACCTTCCTCCTTGTGATAGCATCTT